TAACGGAAGAATTTGAGAGGTGTTGCTGCAGCTGAACCATTGCTGCTTCTGGTATTTTCGCATCTGCGGCTTGGGAACCGCAGATGCGGAGCCGCAGAAGCGGCCTGTCCATCGCAGGAGCGGAATTCGAGTGTTCCTTCAGTTTCCGCAGGTGCGGAAGTTTAACCGCAGAAGCGGTTATGCACCTGCGAGATAGTAGTCGCAGATGCGGTCCTTGGGATTTTGATTGAAACCGCAGAAGCGGTAAGGAATCCGCATAAGCGGCAGCCGCAGGTGCGGTTTAAGACCGTAGAAGCGGAAGTCTTGGCTTTAATGAAAAACCGCAGAAGCGGTGAGTTGGTCCGCAGAAGCGGGACCGCAGATGCGGTCCCTTGTCCGCAAAAGCGGAAACACCTGTTCTGATATAGAAAATTCGAGGGTTTGATTTCATAAGTTAGAAAAGTCGAATTTAGCTCGGGGAAGGGCGATTTTCAGAGGGTTTTGAAGAGAAGACCATTGGGTAATGTTTCTTTGATCCCTCCTAGCTATATTTCATCATTTTGTAGTTAAATCCATCATTAAAATTCGAATTTGGGATCAAAATTGGAAGAAAATGGGTAAAATTTCTTAGACCTAACTTTTGGATTTTGAGTGGGCATTTGACCTCCGATTTGGGAGATTTTTATATGGTTAGACTCGTGAGAGTACGAGGGTTCTAAAAATGTGAAAATTATTTGATTCGAGACATTGGCTTGAGGGGCGTTTTGATCATTTTACCTATTTTCGCGCCTTAGCCTTAAATTTAATAGTGGAATCAGTTGTTTGCAATATTACTTTTGATATGTGATTGAATTGAATAGATTTGGGCCATTTGGAGTCGGATACTCGTGGCAAAAGTGTGATTTCGAGTTGATTTTGATGCCGATTCGAGGTAAGTGGCTTGTCTAACCTTGTGTGGGGGACTTTTCCCCTTAAGATTGTTACTTGATATTTGAGTGCCTTGTACGTGAGGTGACGGGCGCGTACTTGAGCCGATTGATGGAAAAAAATCCGGTTTTACTTAAGTTATTGAGGTTTAGTTTCTTTCTTACTTGCCTTATTCTACTTGAAATTATAACTTGTGCTAGATTAGGAAAAGCATGTTTAGTTGAATTGATTTGCCTATTTGCTTAAGTTGTTTTGACCGTTCTACGTGAAGCATGCTAGGCTAGTTCTATCTGTGTTTGTATTTCGTACTTCATTCCTTGGTATATTTCTGGCTATGGTTGTGCATTTATATTGGGACTACGGATGTGGGATTCCGGTGGCTCCCGCCCTTGTCTGTTTACTTTGGGACTACGGGTTCGATTCCCGGTAGATCCCCTGCACTTTTACTTTGGGACTGCGGGTTAGATTCCCGATAGATCCCCCTGCACATTGATGGTTAGACTACGGGTCGGTATCCCGGGAGATCCTTCAATTTGGTACATGAGTTGGACTACGGGACGGTATCCCGGGAGATCCACTGGACAGTAGAGAAAAGGGCTACAGGACGGTATCCTGGGAGACCCTCATTGGTATCATTGACATTGAGCTGTATTTACTCTGTGTTTACTCTGTCTTTTGTAGTTGTTATTACCTCGTTGACTTGCCTTATCTCACTGTTGTACTCATTATTTATGTCATATTTTCATACTGTTAATTAATATTATATGTTACCTCAGTAGGGCCCTGACCTTCCTCGTCACTACCCAACCGAGGTTAGGCTTGGCACTTACTGAGTACCGCTGTGGTGTACTCATGCTCTTCCTGCGCATGTTTTCATGTGCAGATCCAGGTACCTCTTCTCAGGCGCACTACCCTTGAGGCGAGGAGATACACGGAGACTTCGAGGTATATCTGCAGCGTCCGCAGACTGAAGAGTCTTCTTCCTTATTCTAGTTGTAGAGCTGTTATCCTATCATACTTTTGATGTAGATATTCTGGAGATTAGAGTACTTATGGTAATTCTATTAGCCTGTGTTTCCCGTGAGTTTCCGGGTTTTGGGATTGAGTTGTAGACTTCCGCATATCTTTAGAGTTGTATAGGCCGGGCGGCCTTATATTCAGTTGTTATTTTTTTTATATGTTCAGTTTTAATTGATTATTCCTCAAGTTGAATTGTTATTCCGCACTGTTAGGCTTACCTAGTTGTAGGAACTAAGTGCCATCACGACATGTTCATGGAGGGTGAACGGGGGTCGTGACAAGTTGGTATCAGAGCTCTAGGTTCATAGGAGTCACGGAACACATGCCGGTTTATTAGAGTCTCGCTGATCGGTACGGAGACGTCTGTACTTATCTACGAGAGGCTATGTAACTGTTAGGAGAAATCTTCATTTCATTTGAATTCCTTGTCGTGCGATATTTCGAACATCAATTCTAAACTTCTGACTTCTATTCTCTCATAAATGGTGAGGACACGTGCTACTCGTGATGATCAGGCACCCGCGCCCCCTCCTGCAGCCGTCAGAGGCCGGGGCCGGGGGAGAGGTCGAGGCGCGGTGCAGCCAGAGCACCTGCGCGAGCTGCCGCCGAGGTACCACCAGCAGATCCAGCCGGAGCCCAGGCACCTGGCACACCTACTATTGCCACTACTACTCCAGCGCTCCAGGGGACTTTAGCTCAGTTCATGAGTATGTACACCACCTTGGCTCAGGCAGGGTTGCTTCCCCTTGCTGCAGCCACATCCCAGGCCGGGGGAGGAGCACAGACTCCCTCCGTCCGCACTCTTGAGCAGCGAGTGCAGGTTGAGCAGGCTCCCGAGATTATTCCGGCACCGCCTGCAGCGCCAGTTCAGCCCGAGGATGGGTCAGCT